GCCCCGCCGGCCCCGTCCTCTCCCTGGGACTCCAAGAAACACCGCTCCCGGGACCACAAGCCCGGTTCCCACGCCTCGTCCTCCGCCCGCCGCCGCTCAAGGTCCCGCTCTGCCCGCCGCCGCTCTCGCAGCCCTGACCGCCGCCGTGGGGGCAGCCGCAGATCACGGTCCCGGGAGAAGCGGCGTCGACGTCGGCGGCGCTCAGCCTCCCCACCCCCAGCCACCTCCTCGTCGTCGTCCTCAAGGCGCGAGCGGCACCGCGGCAAGCACCGGGAAGGTGGCAGCAGCAAGAAGAAGAAGAAGCGCTCCCGGTCCAGGGGTGAGAAGCGGTCAGGGGACAATGACAAGGCCCCAGCCCCGGCCCAGCCGCCCTCTGGTTCAACTTCATTGGGTGGGGAGCGTGACAGCCGCCGCCGGGGTGCCGTGCCACCCTCCATCCAGGACCTCACGGACCACGATCTCTTTGCCATCAAGCGGACCATCACTGTGGGCCGGCCAGACAAATCCGACCCCAGAGGCCCCTCACCGGCCCCAGCCTCCTCACCCAAGCGGGAGGTCCTGTATGACTCGGAGGGACTAAGCACTGAGGAGCGAGGTGGCAAGAGCAGCGAGAAGGACCGGCGCCGCTCTGGGGCTGCCTCCTCCTCCTCCAGGGAGAAGGGATCTCGGCGGAAGGCGCTGGATGTGGGGGACCGGGACAGGGACAGAGATAGGGACAGGGACAGGTCATCCAAGAAGGCCCGGCCACCCAAGGAGTCAGCACCCTCCTCAGGGCCCACGCCCAAGCCCCCAGTCAGCAGCGGCTCAGGCTCCTCCTCCTCCTCTTCATCCTCTTCATCCCGGAAGGTGAAGCTGCAGTCCAAGGTGGCCGTGCTGATTCGAGAGGGTGTAAGCAGCACCACCCCCGCGAAGGAGGCCGCGTCCGCTGGCCTGGGCTCCATCGGAGTCAAGTTCAGCCGAGACCGTGAGAGCCGCTCCCCCTTCCTCAAGCCTGATGAGCGGGCCCCTGCTGAGGTGGCCAAAGCAGCTCCGGGCAGCACCAAGCCCAAAAAGACCAAGGTCAAGGCCAAGGCTGGGGCCAAGAAAGCCAAGGGGACCAAGGGAAAGACCAAGCCATCTAAGACCAGGAAAAAAATCCGCAGTGGTGGCAGTGGTGGTGGCACTGGTGGCCCTGTGACACTGAAGAAGTCCAAGGCAGACAGCTGCAGCCAGGCGGCAGGATCCAAGGGGGCTGAGGAGACATCCTGGTCCGGTGAGGAGCGGGCAGCCAAGGCCCCCAGCACCCCACCCCCCAAGGCGGCTCCTCCGCCCCCTGTACTCACACCGGACTCGCAGACTGTGGATAGCAGCTGTAAGACACCTGAGGTCTCTTTTCTGCCCGAAGAGGCCACCGAGGAGACTGGGGTCCGAGGTGGGGCAGAGGAGGAGGAGGAGGAAGAGGAAGAGGAAGAGGAGGAGGAAGAGGAAGAGGAGCAGCAGCCTGCTACCACCACGGCCACAAGCACGGCTGCAGCCGTCCCAAGCACCGCTCCTAGTGCAGGGTCCACAGCCGGTGACTCGGGGGCAGAGGACGGGCCGGCTACCCGTGTCTCCCAGCTACCCACACTGCCCCCACCCATGCCCTGGAACCTGCCTGCTGGTGTGGACTGCACCACCAGTGGTGTCCTGGCCTGTAAGTGTCCCTGGGTGGGCTGGGCAGGCCGGAGTGGACAGAAAGGATCAAGCAAGATGAGGTCATATGGGGACAGACTAGAGACAGTGGGGATGCCTTGGAAAGCTAGGTATGTAGTGACCCAGACTGGGCAGGCCACAGGTGGGTGAGGGCCAATCAGGGCCTGTCCAGGAGGCATCTAGGTCTTTGGGTGTGATGGAAGAGCACAGGGCAGGCAGGAGCAGCGGGTGGCCAGCTCAGCATAGGCTGGAGGAATGGGATGTGTCCTGGGGACCGTCCAGAGGTGGACTGGGATAGACTTGGTGGAGGAACCAGAAAGAATGGGGTAAGCAGAGAGAAATGTCCCTGGGGGGATGGCAGTAATCTCTGCCAGACCACAGAGGTGGGGAGAGAGACTAGGACTGGCTACAAGGGGCTCAGGAGACAGATTCTCACTTCTCCCACACCTTGTCACTGAGTGACTCTGACCATATCCTCTCCTTCCCCCCAACCCCCACACATACCTTGAGTTCCAAGAACATGAGGGGTGTGGGATGGGTCTTTCAGTGGCTGAGGTCCCCTTTTCTTAGTTCTGAGCCTTGGGCCTTAAGGCTTGTTCAGAGGCCCAGGGTAGGAGATGGCAGCAGGTGGTGAGGTAAGGTTCACCGTCTCCTCTCATGTCAACCCCCTATCTCCCTGTCATTAACTCTCTGCCTCCTGTAGTGACTGCACTTCTCTTCAAGATGGAAGAAGCCAATCTGGCGAGCCGAGCAAAGGCCCAGGAGCTGATCCAGGCCACCAACCAGGTGGGGTCCCCTGGGGAAGAGTCCCTGCAGCCCCTTCTCTTGTCCCCTGCCTCGGGTTAGAAGGAACTACAACTCCCAACAGGCCTTGGGGCAAGGTATTGGCCAGAAGAGGAGCTTGTTGCCCCTGGGACTATTGGGAAATCAGGGTGGGACTAATAGGGGTACATGTTCCCTCTTCCTCTCCACCTCTGTTTATCCTCCAACCTCTTTCACAGATCCTCAGCCACAGAAAGCCACCCTCCAGTCTAGGGGTGACACCAGCTCCTGTGCCCACCTCTCTGGGTCTGCCCCCTGGCCCCTCCAGCTACCTGCTTCCTGGCAGCCTTCCCCTGGGGGGCTGCGGCTCTACCCCTCCAACCCCCACTGGGCTGGCTGTAGCGTCTGACAAGAGAGAGGGCAGCAGCAGCTCTGAGGGACGTGGGGACACAGACAAGGTGAGCTGGGCTTGGGAGAGGTGGGTTGATGGTGACAGTTTTGCAGAGAACAGGAGCAAATACTGAGATGGAGGGGCCCAAAGAGAGTGGCAGAGACTGATGCCAGCAGATGGGGCCTTAGAGTAAAAAAAAAAGCTGAAGTCGTTGAATTGTGAGGAACTAATGGATGAGTAGGAAATAGTTGCTGGGCAGACTTTTAAAAGATTATATGTGTATATATACATATACATAGGGAGTTAGAGATAGAAACGTGCCCACATACACACATATCCACTACAGTCTACCCTTGGTTGCCCATCTCACTCTTTCTCTTCCTCCCTTACTTCCTCCCTCCCTATAGTTTTGTGTAAGGCAGAAGGTGACATACAAACACAAATCAAGCATTTCCTAGGAGGGACAAAGAATGGGTGCTGGGCAAATACAAACAGGTTTTTATTCCATTACATCTGGCTCCTCCTGGGCTGTTTCCTTTTGGTCAGGTCCAGATGCTTTTTGTTATGGTCAACCGTCCTATCACCAGCTAATGGCGTTGCCTACCCCTTGCACACTGTATGGTGCCAGAGAGAAAGCAGAATAAACCCCCATAAAAAGCCCCTTATGAGAAATGGTGACAGAGGCACAGCTTTGATGGTCACTGGTTCATGGCACATGCCGTGGGGCTGTGGGACAAGGACAGTATAGACCACATGACCAGTAGCAGGTCCCTTACTCAGCCAGTGAGGCTGCCCTGGTCTCTTCTCTGCCTGTTGTCCTCCCTTGCCACATCTGAGATGGCTGTGGGGGACAACCCCTTTCTCTTTAGAAATCTACTTCCTGTTGGGGTAGGGAGGCCTGAGGACTCCAGGGTAGCCGGCGGCTGTCCTAGCAGTGGCGCTGCCCAAGCAGCCCAGAGCTCAACTGACAGTTTGCATTATTGTCATCTCGTTAGAGTTTCTGGAGTGTCTGGCCCTTGCCAGGCCTGAGTTTACGGTTCCCATGTTCCCTTGGCTCTCTGGAGGGTGACCTCCCCAGGGTTGGTGCTTAAGGCGACTGTCCTTGTGCCTGGGGGGAGAACCCGTGACAGAAGGCCTGGCTCTGGTCTGAATGTGCCCTCCTGCTAGATGTCCTGTCCATCGGCTTTTGCAAAGGTCTCACTTGAGGTTGAAGCAGGTGCAGCTCTTCCAACCCAGTGGGCTTGGGGATCTCTATCCAGCTGCTCCCTATCCTGTCCCTACGGCCATCACCTTCAGAATAGCCACAGCTCCAGCTCCCCTTGATTGGCTTCTTGCTGTGGCCTCCATGTTTGTTGCCTCAGCCCTCTCCACCGGTACTGTCTTCATTTTACAAGTGAGTCACAAAGGGGTTTGGTCCCTTATCCAGGCTGCAGAGTGGTAGAACCAGGCAGGATTCCAGCACAAATGAGCCAGCTCCACAACCTGAACTCTGAACTGCCAGCCGCCCCAGGGCTCACCTCCCACCCCCTCCGCTGTGCTCCTAACCAGTCCCGGCTCCCAGGCCCCCTCAGCCCCGCTGTCAACTCAGGAGCCAGGACAGTGTTGTAAATCCCCCTCTGAAAACTCTTACTACATGTCCTGCTGTCATCAGAATAAGCGCTGGAGAGTCTGATTAAAATAGTCCTAGCTGCTTGTCTAATGTCTCTCCCCACCAGACTGAACTTTGTAAGGGCAGGGGATACATGTATCACGGTCATGGCCTCCTGTGATGTCCAGAGTCCAGCCTAGAGGCCTGGCCTGTGGTCTGGGGTGACCTCAGCAAGAGGAGCACAGGGCAGACCCTAAGCAGGACTTCTACCTCCAGAAGTAGCTGGGTGGTCAAGGAGTCTGAGCCGGCAGGCAGGTGAATGGAGGCCGAGGGTTTTTTAGGAACTCATCAGGCTTTTGTTGTCCCTTTTTCCCACCCTGTCACCACCCCGCCAGTATCTGAAGAAGCTGCACACGCAGGAGAGGGCCGTGGAGGAGGTGAAGCTGGCCATTAAGCCGTACTATCAGAAGAAGGACATCACCAAGGAGGAGTACAAGGATATCCTGAGGAAGGCTGTCCACAAGGTGGGCCCAGATGGGGACAGATACACAGGTGGGCGGAGGATGTGAGGGAGACGGGTATGTGCAGACAGGGGTATGCAGGTGGGGAGGATGAGGCTTGGTGAGTCAGCCTGGAAGGTGAAAGTGACAATTTCCTCAGGCCCACCTGGGCCTGTTTTGGTGGCATTGGGATAAGCAGGGATGTTGGCCTGGACACTGGGGGAGCAACTCCCACCCTAGTCCCAAGCAGTGCTTAGCAGTCTAGGTGGACGGGTCCTGGGGAGCTGGCAGTGACCACAGATGCCGCCATTCCCTAGATCTGCCACAGCAAAAGTGGGGAGATCAACCCCGTGAAGGTGAGCAACCTGGTGCGCGCCTACGTTCAACGCTACCGCTACTTCCGCAAGCACGGCCGCAAGCCAGGGGACCCCCCAGGGCCTCCACGGCCACCCAAGGAGCCAGGGCCCCCGGACAAGGGCGGTCCAGGCTTGCCCCTGCCCCCTCTCTGAGACCCCCAGCTCCCGTTCCCTCCTATGCCTCTTTGGAATTCTGGACGTATTTATGGCTCCACCTCCCCGCTTCCCTCCCCCGTCAGTGGGATGATTGGGGGAGGGCTGCTGTGGGGAAGAGGAGAGCCCCCTGCCCAGTCCCATGCCCATTTCCCGTGTCCACAAGCCTGTCCCCATCACCCCTCCCCTCTGTTCATGCCCTTCCCCCAGTTTCATTAAAGATTTCATGAAATGTTAACTCCCTGAGCCCCATGATTTTAGCTCTTTCTTTTCAGAGACCAATTTGGGAAAGGGTGGGGGAGGGACACACAGGAGGCTTAGCCCAAGTCTGAGGGTGGTTGGCTGGGAAACCAAACTGTATGGCTTGGGGCAAGTGCATTCCCATCTCTGGGCCTCAGTTTCCTTATCTATAAAGAGGATTAAGTAAGACCTAGGCAAATGAAGCACTTAGAACCCTACCTGGTATGTAATTAAACTGTTGCTGTTGACAGAAAGTGGTGGTGATGGACATGGAGGTCCCAGGCCCACCTGGTCAGTGTCTTCCAAGCTCAGGGCACCTGGGTGCTACTTGTCTGCCTTAGAGGTGCCCCAGAAACAGGATCTTTGTTCCCCATTGAGTTGGACTGTGTTTTTACCAGTCCTACGAGGCTGGAGTGACCGAATCTGCTCTCCTGAGATGGAGAGGGAAACTGAGACACAGTAAGGGCCACATGGTGACTCAGGGCAGTGCTGGCCTTGGTCAGTCCCGATAACCCAGAACCCAGGCACGGTGAGGTGGTAAAAGTGCCTAGGTCGTTGGGGTGTGCAGGCTCCAGTGGTGGGGCATGGAGTTCCTTCACACCTGCCCGTCCCAGCCTCATGCCGAGGGGAGCCCATGGCCTGGAAAGGACTTGGCTGAAGTCACTCAGCACGAGTTGGGAGGGGACCCAAGGCCTCCAACAGACAGGACAGTCTAGGCAAGGAGCTTTCTGCTTACTGGACCTTGGCCATAGGCAAGACGGAGATTCTCAGAGACCAGCAGCTCTGAAATCACCTGGATTCTGACCAAGCTTGTGTTTCCTACTTTGTGACCTTTGCTCCTCTCCAAGCCTCAATGTCTTGGTCTGTAAAATGGAGGTGACTGTCACCACCTCACCAGATCCCTAGGAAGAGGTAAGAAGGTAATGAATGTCAGCTGCCCCCTACAAGTGCCTGGCCCTTATAGAGTGAGCACCTGGGTTGTGGGTGGCTTACACAGATGGACAAACTGAGGCCTGAAGAAGGAATAATGCCCAGCTTGGGTCAGGGCTGGTCTGGAAACACTGAACACCAGACACACAAGTGGTGACTGTGGCAAGAGCTAGTTTATTGGTTGAGGTGAGGAGGGGTAAAGAGCCTGTACCCCTGAGTGAGGGCTCAGGCCTGCCCTGCGACCTAGAAATCCATGTCCTCGACCAGGTCCTGGAGGCAGGCCTTGTACTGGTCCGAAGTGAGGGTGAATGGGTGGCTGTTGGAAATGTGTAGGTCCACAGTGTTCTCCAGTGAGGAGGCACCCCCTAACCGCGCCATTTCTAGCAAGGATCTGAGACATGTGGGAACAACCTGCAGGAGGTGGGAGAGAAACACAGTCAGGGAAAGCCCAAAACACTGTTCACTGTAGCGGGTGGGATTGAGCAGACTATAACTCCCAGCAGCCCCTACCACAACCCAGAGTAAACTGCTAGGCCCAGGGCTACTGGGAGTTGTAGTTTTCCCATATTCACAACTGTGGGAGGCCAGAGGAGCTTCCTAGGGTGGAAGCTGCTGGAGGGGTTCCAAGAAGCTAGAGCTGAGCAGCTTGTGGCCAGGACCCCTGGGAACTGTAGATCCTCACAGAAGCTGCTAGGACTTGTAGTCCACCAACTCCCATATGGTTTCAAGAGCTCAAAACAAGCTGGGGGGCAGGGGTGAGGCCATGGGAAGGATACCCAGTAGCTCCTGGGGATGAGAAATGGTGGTTGCAGAGACTCTCAGAAGTTGTAGTTTGTCAGCGGGGCTTCTGGGACTTGTTCTTGGGAGCAACCTATTCCCTCTGGAAGATCCACCCCTCAACTCCAGGAGCCCAGGGCTGCAGGCACCTTGACCATCAAGAACTTCTTGGTCCATGGCTGGTTCTGGGGCCATAACTCCCCCACGCAGAACCAGAGGGTGTAGCGTGGTGAGCGTCCGCTTCCTTCGATGAAGGCAATCAGATCTGGGGGCCCAGGAGCCTAGTCAGGGATGGAAAGAAGACCTCTGCCCGCCCCACCCCCTAGAACTTGAGTAATATCCTACCTTCTCCCCTGACCTAAAGCCTGACATACCTCTGCCATCACGAACGGGGGACTGCTGATTTGGGGGACGTCCCCACAATAGCACAAACAACTTTTCCTCTCTCGCATCAGGGTAGGGATGGAAGACCTGCCTCAGCCTCCCCCAGAGCCTCAGCATTCAGGATGGGGAAACAGGCCTGGGAGGAGAATCCATGCCCCCAAGGATGCACAGTGATTCTGGAGAAGATAGCTGACCTTCACTGCTTTTTAACCCCCTAAGGCCACACTGTCTGATATGTAGCCATTAGCCACCAGGGGTATTTAAACTGCAACTAACTAAAATGCAGTAAAATTTAAAACTCACTTCCTCAGCTGCACTCACCATGTCTACTCAATAGCAACTGATATGCCTGGTGGATACCATACTGGACAGTACAAAGAAAGTGCTACTGGATAGCCAAGCCCTGAGGGACTTCTCCTGCAGCTACCATAATTGGTAATAATGATGATAACCCTGAGCACGTTCTGTACAGTGGGCCCCGGGCCTCCTACCAGCTCCAGGCAGGTAGGAGGAGAGGAGTCAGTCCTCAGACTTGACAGGCTCAGAGCAGTCCAGTCCTTCGCCCCAGGTTAAACTATGGGTAGAGCAGCAGGATCCCAAAAGGCCTGACCCCAGAGTTTTTAACCACTAGGACCCCACTCTTTCCACAGCAGAGCTAAGGCCCTGCAACCACTCACCTGTTACAAAGGGCCTCAGGTCAAACACGCTTCCTTCCTTGTCCTTGGGTACCTCACCATCATGCCCGTGACCACTGTCAGGGAGGAACTCCTCGCCCACAGCCCAAAAGGTATGGCCATGCCCCAGCCTCTGGGCCCAGAGCCATTGCCCTGCCCTCCACAGAGCTAGTCCATTGCCCAGGCTGTTCAGCACACGCCTCACGTAGCCCACCACGCCCCTGTCTGTCAGGGACGCCCCGGGGTCTGGCAGTATTATTGGCTGCCCAGGCAGTGTCCTGTCCCCTGCTTCTGACCCTACCAACCGCAGGCCCTTTGGGCAGAAGACAGTCTGCTGGAAGACTTGGCGGCCCCGGTAGAAGGCGGTCACCTCAAATTCCCACTCTGAGCAGCGGCAGCAGTGATATGAAGGGGGAGAAAGATTGAGAGAGTGTAAGAGGGCCCTCACCCAAGCCCCAGCCCCTCCCACCCCACAGCTGGCACTCACCTTCCTCGGGCACCAATAGCTGCTTGAGTGGGTTCTCAGGGGGCTCTGGGTTTGGGTAGGGAGCAGGGACGTCTAAGTTGGGGCTCATCAAGAGCGGAAGGGGGTCTTCAGCAGTTGCAGCCAGGCTCAAGGGTCCCTCACTTGGGGTTGGGACCAAGGCCAGATCATTCAGTAATTCCTCTAGAGTATCTTCCTGGAGAGGGGAAAAAAAAAAAAAGGGACCCAGGCATTTCCACAGCTTTTTCTGGAGACTTCCCATGAACCAGGCCTTGTGCTCTGCAATGTGGGCACCCAGAGAGGAGACAGTCCTGAACTTTTGCTCTCAAGGGGCTTCCAGCCTAGGGGCGAGACAGCCATGGGCACAAACTGCAAAATATATGCTGGGCACTACGATGGCCTGAGGGGAGCAGCTAATTCCAGCCCAAGGATTTGGCTCCATGCAAACAAGACCTGGGCAGAGAAGGCTGGGCAGAATTTCAGAGGGGACTTTCCCTGGCACAGGCATCAAGATCAAGGGTAAGAAGTTTCTCAGTTCCCAAGAGGCTAGAAAGCAAGGAAAGCAATAGAAGGTGTGTTAAGGCCTTGAATGACTGGTGAAAACTGATTTTTCTGAGGGTGCTGGGAAGTCATGGAAGGGCTATGAGCAGGGAAGGGATAGGGTCAGCTCTGGGTCAGGTGGGGGAGAGAAGGGAGACCAGGGAGGAGGCTTGGGCAATGTTCCATGAGAAAATGAGGCCCGAACAGGTCCATAGGGATGCAGAGAGGAGATGAGGCAGAGACAGGGCAGGAGGATTGAGCACATTCTTACCTGGGTATCAGAGGTACTGTATCTGCCATTGGTGTCTGGAGAGGTGTCCACCTCAGGAAAGTCCCCACTTCCTGTCAAGTAAGGTGGTGAGTAGAGATGGTGTTCTGGGGACTCTTGAAATCCCATCCCTCCATGAGAAGCCCCACTTTCAACATACCTGAGGTCACAAACTCATAGATCTTGTGTGGGTCATGAGGGTCCTTGCTCCGGTCCTCAGCTAAACGCAACACTTCCTTACGGTTCAGGGCCGACCTGAAATTCCTCTTCCAGGTGGGCAGGTCGGGCTTATCCTTCCCCGGAGTATAGGCACCACTGGCCTCAGCCCAGGCCTGGGGGACCAGGACAGTGGGGAGGATTACTGAGACCAGGCCCCAGGAGTCCTAACCCTGCCTCCTCTGTCCTAACAGGGACCTCTCCCCTGGCACATTCTAACTTGGCAAGGTTCCATCCCGAAACTCTCGGATTCTCTGTGTCCCAAGTGTCCTCTACCTCCACCTTTCAAAACCTTTGCTTTCTAAGCCAGCTTTCCAGGTGCTACTAGGTGTCTAACTCTACCACCACTTGCCCCAGGGAACTCTGTAATAACCCCGCCCCCTCGAACTCTAATTCCGTTTAGCACCGCTGGTGTATTCTAATTTGGTGGTAAATAATCTCAGCTTCGGGCCCAGTCTGGTCTCTAACGTTCCAAGACCCGCTCCCAGAATTCTACATCCAAGAGCCCCGCCCCCATCGAGCCCTGAACCCCTAGGCTGCATTTCCTTCACATTCTAACCCCGCTTTCCCGGTTCTATTCCCGAAACCTGGCCCCTCCAACCCTGCCAGCTATCCCACACTAGTCCGCCTTCCTACTAGCCCCACCCCCTCCCATTCTAATTCCACTCACTGACACCTGGCAGCCTAAGCGCGGGCCCGCCCCACACATGCTAACACCGCCTTCTCGGCCCTCCCCCAACGAAGTCCACCCCGCCCTGTGGCAGCTTCAGGTTTCCAGTGTCTCGGCTCCCACGCACCTGAAAGATGCCAAAGTCTTCTTGCTGGGCATCCTGCCGCAAACCGTGTTTCCAGGGTATGCGGAAGCGCGTGCGGCTCTGGTCCAGCCAGGCCACGCCCTCCAGCTGTCCCCCGTCGAGCTGCGACACCAGCCAGGGCAGGATCCGCGGCTTTTGGGTTCCCATGGTCTGGCCTGAGCGCAGAGGGCAGTTCCTGGGAGCGGGCAGGTTCCTAGGCCCACCCGGCCCGAGGGTTCTATTCCCAGACCGCCCTCTTACGGGGTCACGGCGCAGATCCCTCGCCTATGTTTTCTTGGCGTAAAACAGGCCTCCTCCCATCCTCCAGAGAGCTCCTCAATTCACAGAGGACTCCTTCCCAAATCCATTTTAGATGCCCCTCGTTTCCCCAGCTTCTGTGCAGACCCTCTACCCCCTCCCCCAATTCCTCCAGCGTAGGCCCTTACGTCTTCCACTGTAAATTCCCTCCCCATCACCCAATGCAGTACCCCCATTTCCAAGCTGGAACCTTCCAGCAGACGCTACTCACGTGTAGACCTCCACTTTATGCACTTACCCCAATGTAGACCCCCTTCCACAGTTCCCCCACATAAGATCCCCTCACCCATTTTCACCGTAGAGCGCCCCCCCCCAACACACACACACAATTTCCCCAGACAGTCTCCCTCTTCCAGGGCATGACCCCACTTTCTAGAGTGGATGGATTGCCTCCCATTTGCAGATCTCTCCCCTAGGTTTACCAGTGTAGACGCCTCCTCTTCCCACTTCCCCGGTACTTTTTCTAAGTTTTTTACGCCGACCATTGCTTCACTTTTTTTCCTCCTTGCTTCAGTTTCCCCGGGATACACAGCCCCCCTGTCCATTATCAAGGCAGACTCATCCTTTGTCCTGTTCCTCGCTCCTGGACGTCTCCAACTCCCCCGCTCTTCCGTGTTACCTACCTAGAAAGACGGGGCGCGCAGGGTGCTGGGGCCCACCGCTGTCTTTGGGGTCCGGTGGCTCTCGAACTCGCAGCTACACCCCCCCTTCCCGTCAGTTGAGCTTTTGAGCAGTGGAGCTTTCTTTTCTACCGATTTCTTGGAATAAAAAACAGTTCATCGTCATTTGCGTGTCAAACACCAACCAGACAACACCCACTGCCCTGACGTCCCTCCTCCCGTGCGCTTTTTAGGCTTTCTGGGCACGGGCATGCTGGGAACGTCACATGCAAATTAGGTGGGCACCCAGTGCACCGCCCCTTCCACGTTTGGGCCGCCACCAACCTGGTCCAGTGCGCAGGCGCGGGAAAGTTGAAATAATTTACACAAGTTCAGCGAAGGAGGCAGCGGCGGGGCCCGGGACCAGGTGAGCGGGACGTTAGTGAGGGCTGGGCTGAGGAGGGGGCCGGGATCCAGGAACGGGCATCTCAGTTCCCGGGCGGGTCCCCGGGTCCCGCCAAGCGTCCTGGGTCCCCAAAGAGTTTAGCTTCAGATAGTGAAACTACACCTCCCAGCACGCTGCGCGGTGAACAAGTACGGACCGAGTGGAATGTTTGCTATGAAGCCTGCTGGGATTGGTAGTTTCCATGCACTAACGACTTTAGCCCTGAGAATCTAAAAATCGAAGATTCAAGCCCCTTTCTCCCCCGGGGACCCAGAGGTCTGAGGCAGAATCCCCTTACTCTTTCAGACTCAAGAGTTCTGACCCTTAAACTGCTCTTTCACCACTAAAAAAAAAAAAAAAGTTCAGACTCTTAGCACCCTCTTCCTTAGACCCAAGAATCGCTAGAATCAAGGAGTCTTCATCCTCATCCCTCTTCTCTCTGGGGACTCAAGAGTCTGGGCCCCCAGACCTCAATTCCCTTAAAGGACCTAGGAGTCCAGACCCTCAGCCCCCTTCTCATTCACGGATAAGGAATTTGGACCCCAAGCCATCACTTCCCGCTAAACCCTGGAGTCCAACGCTCAGCCCCCTCTCTCACAGGTGCCTCCATGGCAGGCTCAGAGGAGCTGGGGCTCCGGGAAGACACGCTGAGGGTCCTAGCTGCCTTCCTTAGGCGGGGTGAGGCTGCCAGATCCCCCGTTCCAACGCCACCCAGGTAAGAGGAGTTGCCCTCCCCACTCAGGAACCAGCATTTGGGGTGGGCCCTCCCGGTGGGCCCTCCCTAACTCTTGCTCCTGGTCTCAGTCTGTCTCCTTTCCCCTCTCTTTATATCTGGTTATATTCCTTGCCCCTGGAGTTGCAGGGAGAGGCCCTCAGTGGGAGAAAAAAGGGGTTGCTTGGAACGCGCCGCTGGGGTCACTCTGAGTTCCCTTTCCCCAGGAGCCCCGCCCAGGAGGAGCCAACAGACTTCCTGAGCCGCCTTCGAAGATGTCTTCCCTGTTCCTTGGGGGGAGGAGCAGTTCCCCCTGAATCCGCTCGGCCTTGCTCCCTGCCCATCCATCCATGCTATGGTTCAGAGCCTGGTAAGAGATTTCCCTAGATCACCCATGAATTGGCAGGGCCAGGAGCTTTGGTTCTTAAAGTATAGACTGGATAAGAAACTAATTCAAGATCACTCAGCCAAGGGGGTAGGTAGCTGTGTGGCGTCTCCAGTACCTACCCTCGCCATTCTGTGCCCACCCCCTCACCCCCCATTCCCAGTTAGATTGCTATCAATTCTGTGAGCTGGCTTCAGGAGAGCGTTTGGTACATTTCTATTTGTTCTCTCCCTCCTTCCCCACCCCTGGAACTTTTGTAACCACCAGTACCCCCAATAGGGAGGCAGGAGACCTGGTTTTCAATCACAACTCTCTAGCTATTTAGTAACATGACTCAGAAAATCCTTTTCTTCCACACTCCTATGTTTCTCCAGTAGCAAAGTAGGAATGGGAATATGTGTCATTGGACTTGATCAAGAGTGACCAACAGCTTTCCTCTCATATGTGATCCTGGATAGACTAGTAATTGCTACTGGGAGTGCTAGCTTGGAAAGGATTTCCCAGCTGGAGAAAAGAGCTCTGTGATCAGTTGATTATGCCTGAAATAGGCCAGAGATAGAGTGGTAATAGCTAGAGTGCCATGAGTTTGCCTTCCTTGAATGGGATAATCTTCAATGTCCAGTTCAGCTTTAATATTCTGAGTCCAGTTTGGGGGACACGATAAAGGGTCTTTTGCCAATTTTGCTCACTGGGCCTCACTTTACTCCATTATGAAATGGAAATCATTGCTACCTACAAGGTGGCTGGGAGGAGAGAATCCATAACTTCCTAATGTCCTGGAGACCTATCATTGGCTCTTTTCACCCGAGGCCCAGCTACTCCAGACTTCTATGCACTGGTGGCCCAGCGGTTGGAACAGCTGGTCCAAGAGCAACTGAGATCCTCACCTAACCCAGGTGAGGTGCAGAGGGGCCCTGGAGAAGGGTGAGAGTAGAAGGGTTGTCAGGTTTCTGCCCCTAGCCGAATTCTCTTCTGCTCCCCAGAGTTACAGGGTCCTCCACCTACAGAGAAGGAAGCCCTGCTGCGGAGGCTGGTGGCTTTGCTGGAGGAGGAGGCAGAAGACATCAACCAGAAGGTGATGGTCAGTCTGTTCCATCCCTTAGCTAGGATAGGAATTGCTGGATGGTTGGGCACTGGGATCAGAAGCTGGAGCTGCATTCTCATCTGATGGTCAGGTGGGGAGAAAATAGGACAAGCCTTAATGAAGGGTTGAGTGGTATGGCCAGGGCAATATCTTAGAGGCTTCCATTGCTCCTTACAGGGGCCTGGCCTAAAGGCAGAGTGTGTGGTCATCAGAAACATGATCTAGGAATGAAACTGGGACTAGTTGAGGAGACAAGGGAATGTATGGTGGTGGGAGTGGTGGTTTGGAGAAGGCTGTCTAAAATCTGAAGCCCTGATTGACTATATAAGGGCATGGTTTAGAGTGTGGGAGAAATGGACTGCCAGAGGTGTGATTTGTGACTCTGATTGAGTCACAAATGATTGGCATATGATTGGCTCGGGAGTTTGGGCAAAGTGTATGGTCCTGTAATATTAATTGTATGGTAGAAGGCAAGGTTGTTGTAGACACTGGCGGGGCCTCCAGGGCTGTCAGGGAACCCCATTGGAGGTGTGGCTATTAGATTCACATTCTAGAAGTCGGCTAAAGTAGGGCTTGGGCCTCATTGACTGTCGAGGCCTCAGCAGGGGCACGGCTTAACTTCTTGGGTTCTAAGCCACTTTTCCGGGAGTAGTTTCGCAGAGACCAATCTGGTTATGATTGCCGGATGTGATGAATAGGGGCATGGCTTACAGCGTGAGTATCTACCACGCACTTGAACCAGAAAGCCACGCCTCCCAGCCTCCTATTGGCTGGTCACGAGGGCGTGACTGAGGTGGACCCTCCTCTTCCCCTTCCCACCCCACAGCTGGCTTCGGACCCTGCCCTGCGCCGCAAGCTGTCTCGCCTCTCTGCTGGCTCCTTCGCCCGCTTAGCGGAGTTGTTCTCCAGCCGGGAAAGCAGCCCTTACCCCAGCTGCTCACGCCCCTCGTTGCCGTGCCCCGGGCCCCCGCCGCCTTCTCCGGAGCCCCTGGCCCGCCTGGCCCTGGCCATGGAGCTGAGCCGGCGCGTGGCCTGGCTAGGGGGCACCCTAGCCGGACTCAGCGTAGAGCACGTGCACAGTTTCACACCCTGGATACAGGCCCACGGGGGCTGGGTGAGCCTCCAAACCCTCTCTGTGCCCCCCTTTACCTAATTGTAATTGTGTGTGTGTGTGCGGGGGTGTGTGGGGGGGTGGAGGCTTCTTAGGTTTCCTTTCAGACATCACAGGTATTCTCCCAGCCCTACCATTCATTCATTCACCTGTTCAGTGTTTATCGAGCACCTACTGTACACTAGGCATCGCGGTGATCAGTGGGTTATTGTGAGGATTAAATGAGATCATCCTTGTAAGTACTTCGCACTCCGGGGGCACTTGTTTGTGTGGTTATCTGGTGACTGTATGCCTGGGTAATGCTGCCTGAGGGAATGCCCTTGCCAGGGTTTTCTCTCTGCCTCATTCTTTCTGCTCCTCTGTTCCTCTCAGTTATTACCCCCAGGGAGGCCTTCCCTGGTCCCCATTTAAAACTGCAGCCACCTCTTACCCACTCTCCTTCGGTTTTCACTGCTTTACTTCCTTCCATAGCACTCTGTACCTTCTAACAGGTGGTAGAAATGACCAGTTTTACTTACTTCTCTTTGTTGTTAGACACATCAGCTTCAGAAGACCAGGGAGTCTTACCTTGCTTGTTCACTGCATTCAGCGCCAGGTTCAGAGCTGGGTTGAGCTTCAGTGTACTGGCTGTATAGCCTTGGCAACTGCTGCCACCTCCCTGAGCAGCTGTCTGTCCCTGAACAATGCCCTTGCCTCGTTGCTGTGGGGATGCAGTCAAAGAAGGACGCATACCAGGCCCTCAGAATGTAACCGTTGCTTCACAGACTTGGCAGGAATAGTCCAGGTGTGTTTGAGGAGCAGGGAAGAGGGGCCGTTAGGGCTGTAGCGGGGTGAACGAGAGGGCGAGAGTTGAGAGCAGGAGGGGCGGCCAGGTCGCGCAAGGCCCTTGGTCACAGTGAGAACTTGGACTTTGACTCTGAGTGAGCCCAGAATCCCTGAAGGGCTCGGAATAGAAGGACAACAGGGGACTTAGGTGTTAATGGCGCCCTCTGGTGGTGGCCTCGGGAACACTGTAGGAGGAGAGGGCAGAAATAGGGAGCTTGGAGAGGCTGACTGCTCTGGTCCAGGGAGGAGATGAGGGTGGATCAGACTAGGGTGGGGGTAGTGGAGGATTCTGGGTTTAATTTGGAAGTAGAGCTGACAGATTTTGCTAATGGAATGGATGTGGGCACTGAGTGGCAGACAGGATTCAAGGATGCTGGCCTGGCAACTGCAGGGCTCCATCTGCTGTTCCCTGAGATGGGGAAGAGTTGGGTGGAGAGCAGTGGGGGAGCAGGTTTTGGGAAGAGTCAGAGATGAGGTGATCCATTTAAGCGAGATACTTCCTTCAGACCTCAAAGCCAGATGATGAGGGCACAATAGATGTAAGTGTTTGGCTCTCAGCCCACAAGCTTGTTGAGTTGTAAAATTATTTTATTTTTTAAGGAATGATAACAGGTAAGCTTGGTCAGGTACTTGCCAAGGACTTCAGAGGAATGATCCCATTTAAGTTCCTCAACAACCTTATGAGATTTGGTTACTGTCCTGGTCTTACAGAGGCTGAGTGGGGGAGTTCTCGTGCGGGGGTTTCAAATCAGCACCTTGTCACAAAGTCAGGACTCTAAGTCGTTCAAATCCCAGCACTGTATCTCCCTCTCTCTAGGATTCTGTCCTGCCCACCCCATAGTCTCTGATCCTTGCTCTGGGTCTCTGTCTCCCCATCTCTGGTCTCTGTCCCCTCCTTTTTCTGGTTCCTTGCCTCCCCTCTCTCTGCTCTTACTGGGCTGGTGTGGATGTTGCTGTGATCAGAGGATGCCTCTCCTCATGAGGCACTGCCACTTTTCCCTCCAGGAGGGCATCCTGGCTGTTTCACCCGTGGACTTGAACTTACCCCTGGACTGAGATCTTCCTCAGAAGCTGCTACAAGACAGGACCTCACGTCCCCGCGCTCTTTGTGTACTTCCCAAGCCTTCCTGTTCCACTCAGGGATATGGGGTGGTGGCTGCCCTCCCTGGTTTTGCCAAAAAGAAAATTAAAAAAAATTTTTTTCATATTAAAAACTTTTTCAAGTATTAACTTGTCACTCAAGAACTGTTCTAAGTAGGGGAGGTTTGGTTCAGAGATCTCTCTGATTTATAAATTGAGGAATGAGCCAATTCATTCATTCTAGAAGTGTTTATTTGGAGCACTTACAAGTGCTTGTCACCTGAACATACAGCGTATTTGAGGATATCTGTAAATTTGATTCTAGCTAATTACGTTCTTTTTCCAATTGCATGATTTATTTATTCCAGCTAACCCCGTGTTGATGCTCATGGAGTCTTTCCAGGTAGTTCCAGAAGAAAGCTATGATCTTCCTTCACGAGTATCCAGACACCACCCTCTTCTCATTTTTCTCCTCCCACTGCTCCTTCTGAACCTTTTTTTTTTTTTAAGATTTTATTGGGGAATTGGGGAAGGGGAACAGCAAGTTGTTATCCTTCAGTCTTAGTTGTGGAGGGCGCAGCTAGCTCAGCTCCAAGTCCAGTCACCATCCTGCCGCTCATCGGCAGCTCAGCTCAAGGTGCTATGTTCAATCTTAGTTGCAGGTGGGTGTAGCCCACCATCCCATGCGGGAGTCGAACCAGCAACCTTGTTGTTAGGAGCATGTGCTCTCACCAGCTGAGCCATCCAGCCACCTGTTGGCAGCTCAGCTTGGGCGCAGCTCACTGGCCCATGTGGGAATCAAACCGGCAACCCTGTTGCTCAGAACCGCTCTTAACCAACTGAGCCACTCGTCCAGCCCCTTCTGAACCTTTTTTGCTGGTTACTCCTCATCTATCTGTAGACTCGGGGTTTGTTACCTTTTAAGGGCGACAGCCCCTTTCACAGATTTATGTTTGTAAAAGCATACATGAAATATACAGGATTACAAGGGAACTCTACAGTTGATCTTCGTTATACACAGATTTTGTATTTGCGAATTTGCCTATGCACTGAAATTTATGTGTAACCCCCAAATTAATACTCACGGAACTTTCATGGTCATTGTGGGCACGTGTGTGGGCAAAAGATTTGACCTCAGATAAGGTTGAACAAGGCAACACTCTGCCTTCTTGTTTCAGCTCTTATACTGTAAACCCATGTCCTGTCCGCACTCTATTTAGTGCCCCATTTTTCTACTTTATGTACTTTTTGTGGTGATTTTGTTATTGAAAGGGCCCCAAGCATAGCACTGAGTTGCTGTCTAGTGTTTCTAAGTGCAAGAAGGCTGTTGTGTGCCTTGGTTAGATAAACTCATTCAGACATGAGTTATTGTGCTCTTGGCTGTGACTTCAGTGTGAGTAATCAACAATATCTATTAAATAATATGTCTTCAAACAGAAACACACAATCAAGTGATGTATTGATGGGTTGACAAAAGTGTTGTGACAAGAGCAACCTGACCCACCTTGTTTTTCCCTGGGAACAGTGGCTCAGTACTTGCAAAGTCAGTGAGGGCAGCGACTTTATAGAATATAACTATCACAATAAGAATCGACTGTATAGTGAAATAAGGTTTTCAATATTAATATAAAAATTAGTGGTGCTGGGGTGGCCGGGTGGCTCAGTTCGTTAGAATGTATGCCCTAACAACAACGTTGCGGGTTCAATTCCCACATAGGCCCTTGAGCTGTGCCTTCTGCAACTATTGGGTTGTCTGAAAAGTCATGACGCATTTTTGCAACAAAAAACGTAGAAAAAAATACGTTATGACTTTTCCGACAACCCAATAGATTGAAGATAATGGCTTGAGCTGAGCTGCCGGTGCCCAGCCAGATGACTCAGTTGGTTAGAGCCCATGCTCTTAACAACAAGGTTGCCAGTTCGATTCCCACATGGGATGGTGGGCTGTGCCCCCGTGTAATTAGAGTGAAAACAGCGACTAGACTTGGAGCTTAGCTGCGTCCTCCACAACTAGATTGAAGGACAACGACTTGACTGGGAGCTGATGGGTCCTGAAAAAACACAATGTTATCCAATAAAAATTTTTTTAAAAAGTTAAAAAAAATCACTGGTGTAATAATAGGCATGCCTCTTCATTAACATATTAATTAGAAAGAATTAATTAGAATTAGAATAGGTCTAATAACCATTTTTCTTTTTAAAATTTTTTTATTGCTTATTTTTTTTTAATTAGTTTCAGGTATACAAAACAACATAATGACTAGACATTTACACCTCTCACAAAGTGATAGCCCCAACAAGTCTACTACCCCCGAGACCATACATAGCTATTCCCTATGCTGTACTTTACATTCTGTGACATATATATATATATATATATATATATAATATGTTACCGTTAATATCCAATATTATTTTATATTAGTTTCAGGTATACAGTGCAGTGGTTAGGCATTCATATAATCTACGAAGTGATTAATAACCATATTTCTAAATAGAGCAGGAATGACATCTTCAGATGTGTTCGTTATTGCTGTTTCGCTGTGTAACAAATCACACCAAATGCAGAGGCTTACAATTTGTGTAATGGCTTAATTCATATTTATTAATCACAATTTCTGTGGGTCAGGGATGTGGGTGCAGCTTAGCTGGACACTGTTCAGGGTTCAGTCAAGTTCTCAGCTTTCGCTTCATCAGAGGCTCAGGGTCCTCTTTCCAGCACCAATGGCTGTTGGTAGAATTCATGTCCTTGTACCTGTATGACTCGCGATGATGGAACAGCTGGAGAATCACTGTGACCGTAGAGAAGGCCTCAGCCCCTTTTAAAGGGCTCCCATCTGATTAAGTCAGGCCTACCCAGGAAAATATCCCGTTTGATTTATTTAAAGTTCACTTATTTGTGGCCTTAACAGCATCTATAAAATCAATTCGCCCTTGCCATATACAGTAATCTAATCAAGGGAGTGACATTCACATCCTTTGTCATATAACCCAACCTACTCCTTGGTATGTAACACTAGGGGGCAGAGATCACAAGGGCCACCTTAGAATTCTGCCCACCACAAGCCTCTCTGTAAAGAGCTGCGCCCTCCACAACTAGATTGAAAACGACTTGACTTTTAGCTGATGGGTCCTGGAGGGACACACTGTTCCCCAGTAAAGTAAGAAAAGAAAAAAAATGAAGAAAAAACGTTCAAAGAGCGATGCAAAATGACAACCACAATGTCTTCATACCCACGACTGTGAAAATTAAAGACTGATCAAGTGCTGGTCAGAATGTGGAGCAAAGGAACTCTTCATGCATCACTGATGGGAATGCAAAATGATAGAACACACAGGAAAACATTTGGCAGTTTCTTATAAGGTGCAACACACCTACCATACGACGGAGCAATCCTTCTCCTAGGTTTACCCAAGAGAAATGAAAGTGTCTGTTCACAGAAAGACTTGTATATCAACGTTCATAGCCATTTTGTTCATAATAGCCCCAATCTGGAAACTACTCAGATGTCCATTAACAGGAAAACGGATAAACAGTGATACATCCATACAATGGAGTATCCCTCAGCAATAAAAAGAATTGCACAGCCGTTATGTGCAACGACTTGGATGAATATCGAAAGCATTATGCTGAGTAAAAGCAGACACAAGAGAGCACATACTGTATAATTCCATTCATTGGAAACTTTAGCAAAGCAAAAGCTACACTATCGTGACAGAAAACAGAAAGTGATTGCTTCAGGGCTTGGGTGGGGGAGGTATTCACTGGAAAGGGTCCTGAAGGAACTTTCCGGGGTGATGGATATATTCTACAAGTTGCATCCATCTTCATCCAACTATTAATTTTTTCTGCAGGTCGAGGAAAGACCCCCGGAGGAGGTGGTGTCTAAGCTGTGCTCAGACTGACGAACAAGAGTTGGCAGACAAAGGGAGGTGGGTGTTGCTGGCAGGGAAGGGACTTAGCAGAGGCCAAGGGGTTTGAGTGGGGTCGCTGGGTTTTAAAAACTTGGAATAGTTAAGTAGAAGACTAGAGTTTAAATGCTTTAACACCTGAGTCCTATTGCTGACTTGGATCGGGACCCTGGAGAAGCTCTCTCTCTCTCTCTTTGGGCCTCTCATTGCTTCAGTTTTTCCCTCAGGTAGATGAGCAAAATTGCCCTTGTTCTCCTAGACTCCCCTCGGACTGGGAGAATCCACCGAACGGACGATGAGTGACAGTTAGTTTTTGCCAATCGCTGGAGCCTAAAGCCCTGTTTCCTCCCTCCTCGTAGGCCAATCGCCGTGTTCTTGAGACAGCCGCTTGCAGAGGGCTAGCCAAAGGCCTCGTGAAGTCACATTTTGGATAACCCAGTGAGCGGCTGTTAAGGGGGCGGGTCGTTTCGGTGATGGACAGATCTATTTCAAAATGTCCGCTAGCGCGTGGCCTGCCGGGAAGCTTTGAGGCGGTGCTGGGGGGAAGGGGCGGGAACCCATGGTTGACTTTGACCAATCATCAGTCAGATTTCTTGCGACAGACGGGCAGTCTTTCCCCATCCTGTCGACTTGAGGAGGCGGGACTCTGCACGCCAGACTGGGCGGGCCCCTGAACTTTGATGAGCGTCTACTTGGCCCAATTGCTAAACGGTATTCCCAGACGGGCCGCTTCCATTGCCAATGAGATTTCCTGGCAGGATCACGGTGGGCGGGCCGCGGACCCTCCGGTATAAGGCGGTCCCGGGGGAGTGCGGAGAAGGGGGGGGTTTTGGCGGCTGGAGGAGTAGGTGCGGGTGAAGATGGCGGCAGCCGAGGCCACGAACTGCATCATGGAGGTGAGCATCTGGAACGCCGCCGGGAGCGGGGGTCGGTTTGGGGGTTTGGTGTTTCATGGCTCCGTCGTGGGGAAGGGGCTCCGGGTTGGCGGATGGGGGCTTGAGGCCGCCAGCTGTACGGAGGGGAGGCCGCATGCTCCGGATTCGGGGATACCGTTTGAAGTGTGGTT